TGTGAGGCTCTGTGGTGATCTGTGAGGCTCTGTGGTGATCTATGAGGCTATGTGGTGATCTGTGAGGCTCTGTGGTGATCTGTGAGGCTCTGTGGTAATCTGTGAGGCTCTGTGGTAATCTGTGAGGCTCTGTGGTGATCTGTGGGGCTCTGTGGTGATCTGTGAGGCTCTGTGGTGATCTGTGAGGCTCTGTGGTGATCTGTGAGGCTCTGTGGTGATCTGTGAGGCTCTGTGGAGGCTCTGTGGTGATCTGTGGGGCTCTGTGGTGATCTGTGAGGCTCTGTGGTGATCTGTGAGGCTCTGTGTGATCTGTGAGGCTCTGTGTGATCCTGAGGCTCTGTGGTGATCTGTGAGGCTCTGTGGTGATCTGTGAGGCTCTGTGGTGATCTGTGAGGCTCTGTGGTGATCTGTGAGGCTCTGTGGTGATCTGTGAGGCTCTGTGGTAATCTGTGAGGCTCTGTGGTGATCTGTGAGGCTCTGTGGTGACCTGTGAGGCTCTGTGGTGATCTGTGAGGCTCTGTGTGAGGCTCTGTGGTGATCTGTGAGGCTCTGTGGTGATCTGTGAGGCCTGTGGTGATCTGTGAGGCTCTGTGGTGATCTATGAGGCTCTGTGGTGATCTGTGAGGCTCTGTGGTGATCTGTGAGGCTGTGTGGTGATCTATGAGGCTCTGTGGTGATCTGTGAGGCTCTGTGGTGAGGCATGATTCATGAAAGTCATAATGATAATAATAATAATAATAATAATAATAATAATTCATCATCACCATCACCCAACCTTAGAAGCATCGTTGAAGTATTGCAGAAGATTTGATGACTCGGCGTAAGACAGAGACAGACAGACAGACAGACAGACAGACAGACAGACAGACAGACAGACAGACAGACAGACATTAGGTGGGAGAGGCAAGGGGAGGGGAGGGGAGGGGGGGGCATTGATCTCCGTTGCCATGGTAATATCTCATTCACCACCACCTGTTTCTTCCTGTTCTGGTCATATTTTTTAAGCACGTCCCCTCTCTCTCTCTCTCTCTCTCTCTCTCTCTCTTCACTCGTCATATATAACTGGGTGTCTCTGAGGGGTAGACTAATATTGTACAGTGGGATGAGGAAGCTACCTTAACCTGCCTCTAATTTAGTCTACCCTTAACGTAATTTAACACTAACTTAACTTTATTTTAACTTAATTTAACCGTAGCTTTACTTAGTGCTAATTTAACTTAACCTTAACTTAATATAACCCTAACATAACTTAACCTACTTCTAGGCTAGTCTACTCTTAACTTAATTTACCCTTAACTTAATCCAAACTTAATCCTAATTTAATTTAACCGTAGCTTTACTTAGCGCTAATTTAACTTAACCCGAACATAACTTAACCTACTTCTAACTAAACTGAATTATAACTTAATTTAACTCGAACTTAACCTACGTCTAACTTAGCCTACCTTTAGCTTAATTCATCCCTAATTTAAATTAATCCTAACTTAACCTTAATTTAACTTAACCTGATTTGCACATCCACACCTCACCCCACTCTTCCTCCTTTACCAACCTCCACCCCCCTCTCATCCCAATCCCACTTCACAAACATTCCTCCATCCCCCTCCAACTCAACTAATACTTCTCCCAATCCCTCTCCCATTCCACCAATACTCCTCCCTCTCCCTCCAATTCATCTAACACTCCTTCGTCTCCCTTCCACTCCACCAAGCCCCTCCCCCCTTCTCCCCTCCCTTCATATGCATCACCCCCCTCCTCACCACCAGTCTACCACCCCCTCCTCACCACCAGTCTACCCCCCCAAAAAAAAACTCTATCTAATTTTATCTCCAATGTAGTACCAATGGACGTACCAGTCTAAGTGTTAAATTTTATTCCATTGTATAAAGTTACATTCGGACTCTAACTCAAGGCAGCAGGTAGTTAAGGCTATTTTTAACATCTCATCTAACCAGGAAAAGTTAATTGTGTGATCCTCTGTTAAATTCTAACTTGAGGGAGAGTAGCGGCTTTATTCTCCATGTGTACGACCTGACATGATAATAATAATGTAAATAAGTAAGAAATTACCCGGAACATTTAGTAATATCTAGGATCTACTTCAGGTTCACCTATATATTTGTTTTATATCTTTTAATGCTGCTCTTTTTTATCACGTATGTCGTAATCACAAAAAAACCCCAACTTAACATTTTCCATTCGATTCCTAAATTTTCCCATTTTATTCTGAACGGGACGATTTTCTTACAGCTTAAGGACAACTCTCACGGCCCAAGAGGTAATATACAGAATAGTCAGAGAAAATACATTGAAACTCCACTCCCCTTCACCTAATGATCCTCAAGTACTTACGTCCTGCTTACGTCCCGGATACTTTTAAGCGTTCAGGTAATATTGCCCGTAAATGTACACTGAGGATTATTATTATCTCTTGTGACGGTATATACAGCTGTGATGCATCTATCTACACCTGTAATGTTGTTTCTAAATTTATAGTGAGACGAGAAGACATTATAATCAGCAAGTTATACGAAGTACATTATATTCTAGTGCTACAATATATACCAGAATATTGAGAGACACGTTTATATTTAACTAAATGAACGTGAGGCAGAGAATTAAGACTTTTTATCTCCCTGACATCATTTAATGGAATATTGCGCTAAACTAGTGAGGAAATGAGAGAGAGGCCCTTATAATATTACCTCTTTAGATATCATCATCAATCAAGTTAGCATTATACGACCTAAACTAATGACAGTAGTGAAGTGAAAGCAAAAGGAACAGCTGTTTATATATATATACATACATATATTCCTACGTCCTATCATTTTCCCTTGACACAAAAAAAAAAACTGAAAACATAACAAAAAACTTAACAACTCACAGCAAACTTTACACCATTACAATTTTTCTCATAGTTAATAATTTTCGCCTCCCAAACAAAAGTCATTTCCTTTTCATATAAGTCAATGTATAATTTTTCTCCCCTTCTGGACACTATTGAACACCAGAACTGAAGATGTTTACGGATTCACTGAGTTCCTTCCTGACTAACGCCTGGACATTTGATTCTTCAAAGCTTAGAAGAAAAAAAAAACATCAGGAGGATAATGTAGGTTTAAATAAGCAAAAACAAACAACAGCAACAACAAACACAAATACAAACAAATACACAAACAAACGAATCCCAACTTTCCTCTACAACAATTTGCATTCAGTCAGTATTGAATAACAGAAGCCTTAATTGACCTAACCTGACCCCTACCTAGCTCCTACCTGACCTAACCTAACCCACACCTGTTGGACACAAGAAATAAGAGACCAACAGGGAGTCGCTTTACTGGACACACAATAAACTCTACTTATTGTCGTGCTCGGCTCTGATACATTGACTTCCTGCCTCGACTGGGGGGTTTCTCTGACTGGGGTCGGACGCTGGGAGGAGATACGGTGCGGTGTGGTACAGGAGACAACCCGGGTCCTCTCTCACGCTTTTCTAACCTAACCTAACCTAACCTAACCTAACCTAACCTAACCTAACCTAACCTAAGCTAACCTAACCTAACCAAGCCTAACCTAACGTGTCAGTCATATTACATCTCTGTGTCTTAGCTTGATTTGATCCACTCAAGAGGACATAGATTACTGGTGGTTCAGAGTCCCAGTGATGGTGAGGTGTCTTGGGAAGCACCAAACACGAAGGCACAATCGTATTACAAGTACATTGCACTCGAGGAAGGTACTAACTCCCCCCTGGATGGTATACCTTTTCCTTGAAGCTTTAACCGTGATCTTTGACCTTAAAAGCATACCAATACTACAGGGCGTTAGAAAAAGTCCCTGTTCACCTGTAATAAATAAGTATATAGTTAGTTACCTTGTCCTAATTACAGTAAATATTGGGAATGGTCACAGTAAATGTAGGAACTGGATACCACTCCCAAGATTAACTGTATACAACAATTGCGTTAATTTTTACAGATGCACAGGAACTTTTGGATCACCTTGTAGAAATAATCAAAGTAACTATACAGGAAAATGCTAAACATGAGGACTGTAGTGTTCTCTTTTTTTTAGGTATATATCACCCGACGTACTTTATATTCTTGCTTAAATGTTTGTTGTATAAATAAAGGATAAAATATATGCAGGTAACACTGACCACCTCACTCACATACACGAGGTCGTAATGTTTAGTTCACTCCTGATGATCAATACCTGAATGTTTTGGTCTTAATGTAAGGGGGATGGGAGGTGGGGAGGGAGGGGGATGTGGGGAGGGTTGGGGACGTGGGGAGATGGGGTGTTAGGGTGTGAGGAGGTGAGGTGGGGGTAGGGAGGTGATGGGTGTGGGTGGGAAGATGGAGGTGGGGAGATGGAGGTGGGGAGGGGAAGATGGAAATGGATTGGTGGGGTGTTAGGAGGGGAAGGCTGGGGGTAGGGTGTCAGTGTTGTTGTTATTGAACTAGTGGGTTAAGTCCAGATGATCAACTTTGTATAATATTACTTGATATAATATAATCAACTTGTTTTAGTCACCTTTGATATGTAAGTGTGTGTGTGTGTGTGTGTGTGTGTGTGTGTGTGTGTGTGTGTGTGTGTGTGTGTGTGTTAACCCCTTGAGTACTATATCCATAGTCCCTAGAATCGATGTCCATAACCTCTTGAGTACAATGACGTTAACCCCTGGAGTATGATGTGCCCAACCCCTTGAGTACGATGTCCCTAACTAACCCCTTGAGTACGATGTCCCTAACTAACCCCTTGAGTACGATGTCCCTAACTAACCCCTTGAGTACGATGACCATAAGGACATCGTACTCAAGGGGGTTAACTATCTTCCCTCCTCATCACGTCTCCTGTACCTCACAATAGTTACTGAGTTAATTAAGTCTGAGGCCAGGTGTTTCCTCTGGCAGGTAGGCGAGTTCAACGTTCAGATTAAACGTGAAAGTTCAATCTGAAAGTTCAACGTGTACTTTTATTCTCCTCGTCAGGTGCGGCGCTTGATTGGGTGAGGTTCAACGTGCCGCGGTGGGCTGCCCGGGGAGGGGAGGCGGTGCTCACCTGTCAGTTCGATCTGGCCGACGACCTACTCTACTCCGTCAAGTGGTACAAGTCTGGCCGGGAGTTCTACCGCTTCGTGCCCGCTGAGAAACCGCCTCAGACCCACTTCCCCTTCCCCGGAGTCACTGTTGATGTGAGTAAACTGACTATAAGGTATAAGGGACATACAAGACACGAAGTATAGACATGCTTATACTATCTTACTTTTGAGTCGAAATTCATTACAATATTTTTTCTGTCTTTGGTAATCTTATAATGAAGTCAGAGTGATCGTTGTGAACTTGTTTGATCCATGATTCATAATACACACGGTAGGAGGAAAGAGGTTCAGTGACTGTGGTACTGGGGATCCTGTTCAGTGAAGAGTAATACTGAGGCGGGTGTAGCCACTTCAGCTGTCAGGCCACGACGAACTTGTTACAGAGACCACAATAACTTTTTTTGTTTGCTATTTGGTACTAGATTTTGCTGTTGTTAGTTGAGGCTAGTGACTGTCATATGGGAGAGAGAGAGAGAGAGAGAGAGAGAGAGAGAGAGAGAGAGAGAGAGAGAGAGAGAGAGAGAGAGAGAGAGAGAGAGAGAGGCTTGAAAAATTAATACTCCTGAGAGAGAGAGAGAGAGAGAGAGAGAGAGAGAGAGAGAGAGAGAGAGAGAGAGAGAGAGAGAGAGAGAGAGAGAGAGAGAGAGAGAGAGAGAGAGAGAGAGAGAGAGAGAGAGGCTTGAAAAATTAATACCCTGAGAGAGAGAGAGAGAGAGAGAGAGAGAGAGAGAGAGAGAGAGAGAGAGAGAGAGAGAGAGAGAGAGAGAGAGAGAGAGAGAGAGAGAGGCTTGAAAAATTAATACTCCTGAGAGAGAGAGAGAGAGAGAGAGAGAGAGAGAGAGAGAGAGAGAGAGAGAGAGAGAGAGAGAGAGAGAGAGAGAGAGAGAGAGAGAGAGAGAGAGAGAGAGGCTTGAAAAATTAATACTCCGAGAGAGAGAGAGAGAGAGAGAGAGAGAGAGAGAGAGAGAGAGAGAGAGAGAGAGAGAGAGGCTTGAAAATTAATACTCCCTCACACATCTCCCACCACCTCACTTCTATCCATTTCCCACCTTCCTCTCATCCCCTCATATCCACTCACTTCCACCTCCCTCTCCCCCACTCACTAACTCACTCCACCTCCCTCTACCCCACTCATTATCTCACTCCACCTCCTCTCACCCACTCACCAACTCACTCCTCTCCCCAACTCACTAACTCACCCACCTCCCTCTCCCCCTCTCACCCACTCGCTTCCACCTCCCTCTCCTCTCACCCACCTGCTTCCACCTCCCTCCCCACTCATTATCTCACCCACCTCTCACCCACTCACTAACTCACTCCACCTCCTCTCCCCAACTCACTAACTCACTTCACCTCTCTCTCCCTCTCACCCACTCGCTTCCACCTCCCTCTCCCCCTCTCACCCACTCGCTTCCACCTCCCTCTCCCCCACTCATTATGTCACTCCACCTCTCTCTCCCCCACTCACTAACTCACTCCACCTCCCTCTCTCCCACTCACTCCACCTCCCTCTCCCCCACTCACTGACTCACTCCTCCTTCCTCCCTATGCCCCCAGACCGAGCAGAGCGACGAGCAACAGGTGGCGCTGAAGGGGGTCAACTTAGATACTGCGGGGCGCTACAAGTGTGAGGTGTTGACGGAGGCGCCTCTCTTCAAGACACTCGTCCGCTCCGCCTTACTGACTGTCTATGGTAAGCTTCTGGGGTGCTGTGAGCTGTGTTCCTGGGGTGCTGTGGTCCTGGGGTGCTGTGTTTCTGGGGTGCTGTGAGCTGTGTTCTTGGGGGTGCTGTGTTTCTGGGGTGCTGTATTTCAGGGGTGCTGTGTTCCTGGTGTGCCGTACCTGACATAGTGTACAGTAATGTTCATGAAGCTCTTGGGTCAAATTTAAATCAAATATAACACGAAAGTTAAGCATGATTTTGAGGAGGACCCACCATTACCTGTCTAGGGTTAATTAAACTCAGGTTAAAGTTACTAGAATTATATATTTTCTAAAGATATCACCAAGGGAACTTTCGCACTTATGAATAGTAATGAGAAAAAAAAAATTAATTCCTCGATATCACAATAAGAAGTTAATTAAATCAGATTGCGGTTTTTTTTGGACAAGATGATATCACCATAGGAACTTTTTCTCTCACCATATTTCCTGTTTATTCTGATTAATTAAATGAATCGTGAATATATTTGTCCACACCAATAGAAAAAATTAAGTTATCAAGGCAAAAGGAAAGGTGAGGGTCTTAGGAGGGATTTAAGCTTGTGTATAATGTTACCTGTAAGAGTCCTCACCTGTCCTCTTGTTTACTATGTAGGGACGGTAGAGGTTAGGTTTGTAATGGGAGGTTCCTTACTTTATTCTCTCTCTCTCTTTCTCTCTCTCTCTCTCTCCACACCCCTCCCCCTCTGTTTCTGTCTCTTTCTCTAACCCTAAGCCACGTCACCATCACCCTGTATTTCCCCCTTACTAACCACCCACCCTTACTCCCCCGTCTTCTCATCACAACAGAACTGCCTGATGGTAACCCGGAAGTCATAGGAGGACAGCATCAGTACAGGCCAGGTGAGACGGTCAACCTTACCTGCCAGGCGCCCAGGTCTATTCCAGCCACCACTCTCACCTGGTATATTAACGACCAACAGGTAAGTTTACACACCTTTAAAATTTTTCAACTCTCCCTCACCTAGTTCATTAAGGTATACGTTTTTGGGACTTAGGTTACGGACTTTTTGAACATTTGAACAACCTTTAATCTTCTCCATTAACGACTTGTAGATAATGTCTCGTGTGATGAGACTGGTGAGATAGGTAATTGTTTTAACAGCATTTGACTGCGAACAGTTTGAACAGGTGAACAACCATAACTTGATAGGTGAAGCTAGTTTGAACATCTTGAAGCTCTCCCGGAGAAAGTTTAACTCTTAATAGTTGAACAAGTTTGAACGGTAGAGGATAAGATTAAATTTATTATTGAACAATTTAACAGCCAAAAGATTGAGTTTACACTGAAAAACTGGAGCTAATTTGAACATTATAAACTAAAACAACAAAAATATCACTGAACATTATGAACATTAAATCAAGCTAAAATAACATTCTGAACACCAACTACTAACACAAAACATAAACATTAACCTAATAAACCACACAAAATATTCCCTCCTTGCTGAGCTTAAGAGAGACACACCTACAGACAACAGAGACTCCAACCTTTAAAACTGAACTCAGAAAACTATTAATAAAAACAGAGGCGGGAACAATACGTCACTGTACTACAACACAAAGGCTAATAAGGCCGCCGTAGGAAGCCCAATCACGTGGATGTACTAGCTCAAGCGTCGGTGAGTCGGTGGAGGGAAGGTGGTATAACAGTGTCCTTCATTGTTGTTGTTTGTGATTGCTGATGTTTGTGATTGTTGTTGTTTGTGATTGTTGTTGTTTGTGATCGTGGGTGAACGGAGTATGTTTGTCCCAGGTATAGAAGGTGTGCAATTAGTGCCAGTACAGGTACACTTCAGTCAGGTGTGTTAACTCGGTGATTGGTGAAGGTTTAGATACTGTAGTGTACTGCCGGTAATACAACAGCTACAAGTCATCGATTTTGACACCCTGGTTACCCTAATCACCATGTGTATATCCAGGCGGATGAAATTTACCTATAGATCCACCCTACCCGAGAATTGAACCCAGGTCCTCTTGCTTGTGAGGCGAGTGTGCTAAGTTGCTAACCAGTACATCCACACAGGTACAGTTGTGGACGGGGGGGGGGAGGTGTTTTTTTTTGGGGGGGGAGGGGAGGGGAGGGACGGAAACTTTATAAGTGGTCTTACCGTAGAGTTTCTCAGTTACCTCAACACTGGGCACTTCACCAAGGTGACTATGGTGTATCACCGCCGTAGACTTTCACTCCACTTCCCGGCATTCAATGTGTTGTATACTTGATAAATGATGATTTAATGAATTCCATTAATTTCCAACATCCATCTAAGTTATTGGTTATATTACACTTTGTCATAACCAATCAATCATTACCTTTAGTAAAAATAAGATAGTGATCGCAGATACGGGCAAACATTACACTTACATGTACTTAATAAGGTTCCATTCACTGATTTACAATTTGCATGGATATACGAGTCACTCACATTCACGCCACAATAAAAGTAATTTTGTAAAGAGGGAATTTCTCAACCTGGGGACCACACATTTAATTACACTATTATGGTTTGGCTTATCAGGGACCTTAATTCCTTCCTTAGATACCGTCACCACTGGGGGAGTAACCACGTAGCTTCACTGGGCTGGCCTGGATTGCTCTTGTAGCAAACAAGTGATTTTATTTATAATTAATTTAATCCCTTATACTTATCAATGGTCTTGGGGGTTTGCACACATACAGTCTCGTATCATGACAGTCCTAGCTTCATCTCTGCTGGGAGTAAGACGATGTTGTGGTAGGGTGACTGCTTGCGGCAGCACCCTGTTCACTTAAGACTACGGAGCAGGTCTTAACTAATCCCTGGTTTGGGGGCCTAATAACTTATATGTGGTTGTCCCCGGGTGTGAAACAAGATGGACAACGAGCCGCTGTCCTGCTGGGCCCCATAGGTTGGCTCTATACCTCGCTTATAGAATCTTGATAACGCCGTCGACTCGTTATCTATGTTACTGGTTCCAAACAAACAGTGGCAGGAAGGTTGGGGTGTGGATGAAGGTGGAAAGTGTCCTCAATCACTCAACATTTTACAGCATTTTAGTAGTTGTTTCGGTGTACTGAGTTATATACAGTGTATTGTTAGTGTAAGCTGTGCCTGACTCATAACTAAACTAAAAAAAATGGTGTGAAGAGAATATCGCAGACTCTTAAACATCAACTCTTATGTTATATTGCCAAGTTTTCACCTGCCCCTTACTCTCCCTATCCCTTCCTCCCTGCTGAATTATTTTTGTCCACAACTATACATTATCGCACGTTCTTTTTATTTTTTTATTTTTTTAGTCATGTACCTTTAACTTAAAGAGTAAATATCTGGCAGAATTTAATATTTAACCAGTAAAAACCCGATGGCAGGATCGGTTGGGTTAGTTTTGGGGTCTATAAGGACTTGGGGTCTATGAGGTCTCGGGGTCTATAAGGACTTGGGGTCTATGAGGTCTCGGGGTCTATGAGGTCTTGGGGTATATGAGGTATTGGGGTCTATAAGGACTTTGGGTCCATGAGGTCTTGGGGTCTATAAGGACTAGGTGGGTCCATCAGCACCTGGCCCTCGAGTCCTACTTCCTTAACACCAACTACCATCTTCTCCCCTACACAGGCGCCGCAGGACTACCTGGTGGAGTACAAGGTGCCGCCTGACGCAGAGGGTCGAGTAGCGTCACGTCTGGGTCTTCAGTTCAAGGCCCGGGAGTGGCACTTCCCCGAGGGCCGCCTCACCTTCCGCTGTGCCGCCGTCCTTCACCGCCTCTACAAGAAGGACGCGCTACACGAAGGGGTGGTCGCGCCCCCGGACCCCCTCAGCCTGGGCCATGATGCTAGTGGTGGGTATTGTGTATTGTGATGAGTTTATTGTGATGATCTTCTAAGGCTGTCCCTGATGTGATGTTTACATTATCTACTCGATACCTAATTACTGCACTGTGAAATTGTGAATTATATATACAGTATATATATATATATATATATATATATATATATATATATATATATATATATATATATATATATATATATATATATATATATATATATATATATATATATATATATATATATATGTGTGTGTGTGTGTGTGTGTGTGTGTAAACCAGGAATATTTCAGAACTGTCAGTACCACCAACAAACACAGGTCCCCTCACAAACATTAACACAACCACAGTGGTAGAGAATAATCCACAACACCACACCTACAGAACTGTTAAATTCTTTCTGTTTAAAATTCAAATTCAGGCCGGAAATGTACTGACCAATGAGCGACCTCAAAAAAATTTAGCGGGTAAATGTGGTGACCAATCAGATCCCTGGGCGTCACAACGGACCATCCGCCGGAACTGTGCTCTTTGTGTCATCAGGACCAGAGAGCTTCAGCGAGGCAGATAAAAGGCTCACCTCTGTGTATGCTTCACCTTATCCAACTCTACCCACCATTTAAGTGATCTTTAAACTTTAATGGAGATAGTCTATTAGAGGAGACAGTTTACTAACCCCTTGTGTACGGGCTCCTCTCTGTACTGTATACAATCATCTAGCGTTAGCAAAATAAAATATTATAAGTGGCGTCCGTGATAGTGAAGGGATTGATAAAACTGACCTCAGTCTTAGTGAACTTTCTGAAGATCCTTGATGTTAGGTGAACCATCATCTGTAACTTGAGCTGAAAGAAAAAACAACCAATTACTTGTCGTGGCTATACATCTATGCATTAAGAGTAAGACATGGATAAGACCTGACCTGAACTGCTCAAGAGTACATGAGGAAGATGGTGACACTACCCACCTCGCTCTTCTCTTAACTTAATCATAATAACTTCCAAAGATTCATATATACAGCAAACAAATTCTCTCTCTTTATTTTACAAACACTTGATCCATACGCACATTCCCTTCCTGTTCTTAACCAGTACTGTTCTTTATTTAACACATTTTCTGCATTTTATGATAATTCTTTAACTAATGACTCTACACTACACCTTTCCAGGTTTATTCAATTAAACTGTTCCTCCATATTTCTTAAAGTCATTCTTCGGCGAACCCATCTACTCCTGCTGGTGCTTTAGCTTACCGACAGCCAATCACAATTTCTTATTAAATTTTTGTCTTTCACTCAGACAGCGTTCAGTCCACTACAAGCTAAACATGGTAACTCCGCGTCTCTCTCTCTCTCTCTCACATACACACACACACCTGTTGGCTTTACAAGTTGTGTAATAAATTTTCCGTAACTCTCTTTCATCCCCCTCTGTTGTTCTTATCCTGTTCAGTTCACTACAAAATAACTTCTTGTTCTTTTTAAAATCTTATGACACCTTCCCTTCTCTTCCAATCTTTCACCTTTTCCATCCACCGCCTGGCCCACCCACCGCCTTATCCACTCATCGCCCAGCCCACTCATCGTCCAACACCACTCATCGCCTGGCCAAATCACCGCCCCTCCCACCCACCACTCCACCCACCCACCCACGAGATCTCACCTATCAACAAGTGATGACAATGATGCTGTTGTAATACTTGCACAAACATTCACACAACCGCCATTAAAATCTGTAAGGTAGAGTGTGAGTATTTTTTCTGAGACACCCTGTATATGCTGAGACACCCTGTATATGCTGAGACACCCTGTATATGCTGAGACACCCTGTATATGCTCCCCCCCCCCCCACAGCAACAAGACTAAACGCTGATATAATCCTTGAATACAATGTCATCATACTCAAGAGAATAAGTCAAAAAGTTTAAGATATCGTACACGAAGGATTAATTTATTGTACTCAAGGGGTTAAGATATTTGATTCCATGGATTAATTTGATGTACTCTAGGGGTTGGCATTGTGCTCTTAGGTGTTAAGTCCATAAATACTTCATTCAAATGTCCAAAATATATGACAGCATAATGTATCAAGTCATTTTCAAGTCTGATTAATGTCAACAACCGAGGCCTTATGGACAGTACCAACTTAAAAGTCTAACTTAAGGTATTCTTTAAGTCTAAAATATGCAACAGATTGTTTTTAAGTAAACCAAGTCCATTTTCCCTCAACTTACAGAATAAAATCGACGTTTAAATCCAAATCAAATGTCTACATACCATTCCTCACTCGATAGGTATAATCATAAAGGTCAAATGAGAAAACAATTTCCACGTGTTAGTTAAAATCCTTAACTTCAATGACCAGTATTAACCGCTAAATCGAAATTAGATTCTCACTCAACAAAAATTATCCTATAAGTCCAAAACAGCACACGCGTTCAAGTCCAATTCCTGTCTGGAGTGTGGGTCTTTGGACGTGAGGGGCGGGTGTTTGCGTTGGGTGATTGTCTGATGTCTTCAGGAGGGAGCCAATTACCAGGACAGTGGCTTAAGACCAGCGGACGTGACCACTGCCTCCAGCCTCGGATCCCCTCGACGGTGTTATGTGTAGGGCCTTTACGAAAAAATGGTCTCACGGTTTCCAAAGCTGGAGAAATTGGTCTCATAGTTGGAGAGTTGGAGAAACTGGTCTCATAGTTGGAGAAATTGGTCTCATAGTTGGAGAGTTGGAGAAACTGGTCTCATAGTTGGAGAAACTGGTCTTATGATTCAGAAAGGTACTTTATGGTAAATAAAATAGCGTCATACATAAAGAAGCCAATATAAATACAGTAAATGTATACATATGGATAAGTCCCATACATATGCATACCCACATAAAATACATACAAACAACAGAGATACACAAAAACATACATCCATACACATAGAAATATGTACACAGTACACACAAATGAAAAACACATGTGCAAACAAATTACATACGTACACACAAAACATACATAAGAAAATAAAAAAAACACACACACACACATATACGGAACTGAATTAAATGAGAAAAAATAGTTTCACATCCCATTATAGAGGTGTAATAGAGGCGTAATAGAGGCGTTATATAGGTGTAATTGAGGCATTATAGAGGCGTTATATATTTTTTTATTTTTTTTTTACGGGCATTAGCCCACCGGGGCACAGGTCATTTTATGGTCCACATCAAGGCCTGGGGGGCGAAAATATAATAAAATAATAATAATAATAATAATAAAATTAATAACATTTAATATAAATTATAATTATAATAATAATAATAATAATAATAATAATAATAATAATAATAATAATAATAATAATAATAATAATAATAATAATAGCAATAATAAAGAGCCATAAATAAATATATATTTTTTAAATATATCAACAGTGAGACATGATATACGGGGTATGTAAGTTGTGTTGTCAATAGTTTGAGAAACAATTGAGACCCTGCAATTGTGTGTAAATGAGGCAGAAAGTTAGATCAGCAACCTGGGACTTGGTCACAATTTTCGTGATGCCATGTGGCAGCAGGGTCTACCATTAGACAACACATTATGCTTCCAATATCTTCCAGGCGGTAGTACCTCCCTGTTTGGTAGCTGCCTGCTAGGTGGTAGGTGTAATAGAGGTGATATAGAGGAGTAATAGAGGCGTAAGAGAGTGAGAAACCAGACACTCACTTTTTTATAATTCTCAAAAGTTAAAATGTCTAGGAAAAGTCTCACGTTTTAAGGCTCACAGTCTAAATGAGGCAGATTGATCCCTTTGACAACCACTGATATTTTAAATTTTATGTGAATGGGAATACGGCTCACAAGTCTGGGTGGCACTTCTGGCACTGTATAGGGATATTTTATTGGCACAGTGGCATGGAGTCTTGGTTATTCTTCAACATGGTTCGAGTTCGATTTCCTCCTGGGTTGGATATATGAAGGATGTTACCCAGTGTATACCTATTATTAAAGGTGTTCTCCAGGTGTTTCATTGTCCCATTAAGGTCAAGATGAGGGTTGAGACCTGATTTCATGTTTATCTTTTCGATGGCAGTTCTGATGTACACGTTATGTCTCAATAAATGGTTAAATGTTGACGATATTAAAAAAAAAAACGTACTTTTCTTGACTTGGTTAGGTAGTTGAAGTTCAGAGGCCAAGTGAAAGGTTAAAGGTCATGGGAACTTGAAAAAAAAATGTTGGTGTGAGAAAATATATGAAGACTGAAAGATAGGATATTGGTCGTACATAAACAACAACACTACTCATAAACATCTTGAGTTGAATAGCTGTTTGGAAGGTGAGTGGAGGATTAAGAACACGAGTCTTTGGATATAGAGAAGTTGTTAGTCATAGGTGTGAGGTGACATTATTAAAACCGTCTGGAGTGGTGCTGGAGACTTGAAAATCACTGAGTGGCTGTCTCCTCAAGCCACCAATACGAAGGACTATCTTAACACCACAAGTCCTTAGGTAGTTCAGCCAGGAGCCAATATTTATAGGAATTTTTATAACTTATATTATACACACATAAGATGGGGTACAATAAGGCGGTGAGGTGTACAGTAATGTAAATATTAAGAGCCGAGCCGATGGAAATTTGTGAGATTAAGCATCGTGATGTTCTCTCGTGCGACAGGTAATGAGAGAGAGAGAGAGAGAGAGAGAGAGAGAGAGAGAGAGAGAGAGAGAGAGAGAGAGAGAGAGAGAGAGAGAGAGAGAGAGAGAGAGAGAGAGAGAGGGAGAGGGAGAGAGAGCATGTAAACACACAACACGTGACTAACAGCTGTTTCTTGTTTATTTCAGGATCAGGTGAGGTGGAGAAGCAACTGATGGTCCTCCTGATGACTGGAGCCACCTGCCTCCTACACTTCACACTCACCTAATCATCAGTGGTTGTTCGTGAGAGCAAGACTGTTGTTCTGGTCAAGTGGTAAACTGGTGCTGAACTGGTGTATTGTCTGACTGGTGAACTGGTAATCTAGAAAAGTCTGATTGTCAAAACAGTGAATTGGCAAACTGTCTGAATGGTGAAATGGTGAACTACTAAGCCATGTCTGACTGGCAAAATAGTTAGCAGGTAGACTGCCTAAGTGATGGATCTGTCAATTTAGTGAAGTCTCTGAGTGATAAACTAGTGAATTGGTGCTCTGACTGGCTGGCTGGTGAAAAACTAAAACTATTCTGATGGGCCAAACGGCGACACAGGGGGCCATCACAGCCACCAAACCCAGTTAATTGCCCTGCCTGTCAATAACCAGTCGACAGTCAACTGTAAATTTTTTTAGCTCAGGAGGCGACAATTCATCCTACAAAGAAAAAAAAAGTCTGAATTACGAGAACCAAAAAAAAATCACAGTTTTCCAAGCAGTAGTGTGGAGCCTCGGGAGTATTATAGTGTGAAAGGTGAAAAGAAATATAAGCCTCCCGTATGAGTGAAAAGTCTCCGTACCAACACTGGGCTCCCTTATAGTCGTACCCTATATTAGTATGCCAGAGAGTATCAGTGTAAGTGACGTATTAACTAAACTAAACCAACAAAAAAAAAAATAAAAATGTGTTAGGGAAGAGATAATGTTATAACCTAATTATAAGTTATATTGTGCTTTTGTTAATGATGTCTCCTATACGCCCAGTTATTGGCTGTATATATGTAAACAATATATATATATTATACACGCATATAAACATCATGTGTGAATGTATGTTAGGGTGTGAACAAGGGTTATAAGGTTAAGGTTACAAACTCTATGCTCTTCGTGTTTATATCTTTACTTTTCTCCGCCGGAAGGTAAGCTTGTTAACACCGGCTGCTGGTTCACGGCCGTCGGCAAAAAAATCTTATTTATCTTCCTGACTGGTCGAGTAACAGGTGAAGTCGTCGAGACCAACTTAGTGATGATTTTCTCCGCATATATTAACACCTGAGACTCCAATGTGTTGTTTTAGCTTCATTTACTTTAACCTAACCTAACCTTTGGGAAGACATTTACCTCAAGGTTGGTCTGATCTTAACTGAGAGTCTTGTTAACGTTTTCAATACCACCAACTTACGAGGAAAATGAAACGTACGAACTTTTGAGAATCCAGCTATTTTTTTTTTTATCATAGCTTAAGGGGACCAATTAGATGTCTCCTACATTACCTCCTGCTGACAAATTATGACATACGATCCTCGTCTCACCTTTTTTGTTTTTACTCTGAGGTTAACTATAAAGTAAAGCTAAATATTATGTGTGATATTAACTTGAAATATATTTATCCACCTCATGTTATACGAAATATATATTAAATGGATAAGAGTATGGGACAACTTGTAAAAATGTTGAATTGTGGAAAATTATCGTAAAACCGAATTGAGTTGGTGGGGTTAAGTGAACGAGGAGGGTGGGAGGAATGAAGGGAGAGAGGGAGGGAGGGAGGAGAGGAGGGTGGGAGGAATGAAGGGAGAGAGGAAGGAAAGGGGGAGGGAGAGGGAGGAGTGGAGGAAGGAAGGGACGGACGGAAGGACGAAGGGAGGGAGGGACGGACGAAGGGAGGGAGGGAGAAAGGGAGGGACGACGAAGGGAGGATAAAAATAAAAAAAGTAAAAATCAACATATGTCAGAGGCTGATGATATTATAATGAATTACTGCTTTTCAACAACGAAGGTCTTTAAGCGCATAGTCTAGGTCAAAAAACAAAAACATTATTAAACATTATTCAACAACTGTTACAAATTCAGAGAGATACATCATACCCAGTACCCGTCTGTTTACCACTGATGAGTGACAACCTGACAGCGAGCACAGGTGAGCTCCCACCCCCTCCCTCGGTCTGGATTAACTATATTCCGTTGTATCTGGCAGTTACCTAACCTAACTTAGCCTAACCTAACCTAACACTACCTTGCTGTCACTCGGAGTCGATTATAACGATCATCCACCTATGACTTAATGATATGAGTTATTAAGGATGTCACCTAGGTTGGTGAGTTCTGAGGTGACTAAAGAGGCCGATACGGGACCGGCAGAGTCGATCACAGAAGTTGCACATGTGGAGGCTACATCTAGTGCGGAAGGGGAGGCGGCAGTGTTTTTCCGGCGTTGGCGCTTTTCTGCCTCATTATACAGTCGCCACTTGTCCGTCGCCATAGGACTTTTGGGGTATGGTGATCTGGATGATGGCTGCACGTGAGTTGATTTACGTGGTGAGGCAGAAGCGCAGGCTGCTTCCACACATCTTGGCTCTCCCTTTTCCTGATCCAGTGGTGCAAGTGTTGCAACGACTGGGGAGAGGGAGAGATGCAATGGACTACTGATAGCCCAGTTTGTTGGGCTTCGCCTTCGTCCGCCGGTGAAGTCATTGGGTTCCCATGGTGGTCACCTCTTCTGCCTATACCGCCGTTGGGGTCTTGTTGGAGCTCTGTAAACATGTCTGCCTGATGCGGGGCTCCACCGCAGATTTTTCGTTCGGGATTTACTCCCATAGCCTTGTACCTATCAAGATTAATCTGCAAGGCAGCGGGGCAATGGTTGGTAGGCGCCAGGACGTGTCCACATGCCAGTGGGCCTATGCGCCGTCCTTCTGGGGCCCACTGCTACTCCGAGATCCCCTGCTGGTCTAGCCTGGGCCTACGAGGCACCCAGATACCGTGTGTCGCCACGAGGAGGCACAGCAGGAGTCTTGATGGTGAAGAGGCTGTGTACTGGCAGGGGAAGACCCATGCAAGTTGCTTACTTGTTCGCTTAACCTAACTTAATCTAACATAACCTCTCCCAATGTTAGGGTGTTTAATCTTCAGGTAAAATAAGCTGGAGGGTTTAATATTCAGTTGAGGTCAAGACTAACCTAACCTAACCTAACCTAACCTAACCTAACCTAACCTAACCTAACCTAACCTTCTACTACCATAACTCTTGACTCTTTGTGTCTCTCTCTGCTCTTATTGTTGACGAGTTGAGAGGCGTAAGAGGGAAGACGACAATGACCATAACACTCCTCTCTTCCCTCTCATCCTTCTCCTCTTCCCTCTCATCCCTATCTGCCCCTCCCCTCTCTCCCTTCCCTCCTCCTCAACTATCTAGTATCAATGATCTTGCCTCACACATAACACGGCGAGAAGTGAGACAGTTTAACATGGGTCAGATAAACACCCTGGAAGTCTTTCTGAGTTAATGATCGCAGTTATGGGTCCAGGAAGTGTTAACCCGTTGAATACGATGACTTTAACCCCACGAGAAGAACACTAACTCCTTAACTACGATACTTTAACCTCTACGATGTCTTAACTCGTTGAATACAATGACCTAATCCCCTTGAGTAAGATGATTCTGTATTTAGGGGAATAAGTTATCGTATTTAAGGGGTTAAGAGGATTTAGGAGTATTAAGGCAAGATTAAGATGTTGATATAGAGAATTATGAACTTTATCTGATTTTATTTAACATGTGGCTACAACATACACATACATGTACACATACACACATATATACATACACATATACACTGTACACACACACACACACACACAGACACTGCACGACCTCACATAGTAGGTTTAATTCTATCCCGTAAGATAAACTCTGCTGTAAAAACTGGCATCGTCTATATAGATTAAATTCTGAGAAATATATAAGTTCCCCCACACACGTTCAATTTCAGAGTTTTTGTTGAAATACATCACTTGTTATATTATACCGCATGCTAACTTCTAGCACTTACAGTATGTTATATTTTAGTCCACATGTGTCTAACTAGGATATAATAAACGATATTTACAGATCTATACAGCTTCCATGTGCCTGAGAGAGAGAGAGAGAGAGAGAGAGAGAGAGAGAGAGAGAGAGAGAGAGAGAGTTAATGTCTCAGTTAATAAAAATAATACCATGTTTTTTTCCCCAATACGTGTTATCTCAGTTGCCAGAGTATGTGTGCTGCATTACTCTCGTTGATTCATTAAGCTCCCAGGATCGAGAGCTTAATACAGTATGTGACGAGGTTGCCCACCCCCTTCCCCACACACCTCCCACACGCCCCTTACACGCCTCACCTGGCATAGTGGTTCTGTCTCAAATCAGTATCGTGTTGGATGTTTATGATGTTGAACTTGAAAATGTGTGTGTGTGTGTGTGTGTGTGTGTGTGTGTGTACGATCATAAGGCCACTATACAAACGCAAGGAGTACGGTGGCCGAGTGGATACAGCGCTCACCTCCTGTCTTAAGAGTCACTACTTCGATCCCACCCAGCTGTACCATCAGGCTTATGAGGCTCTTTGATATAAACACAACAACAGTAAAATATTGGTCTCTCAGCCTGAAGCCTTGAGACATGTTGGCCCAGTCATAAGCCCGGGTCCTAGGAGGTTTTATCACACTGATTGTTTAACCTTTTGAGTATGATGACTTTATTCCTTGAGAATGATAACTTAACCCCCTAGAGATCGATGACTTCACCCCTTGAGTATGGTAATTTCACCCCTTGAGTTCGATGATTTAACCCCTTGACAATGATTTCATATCCAATGGGTTAAATTTTCGTACTGAAGGGATTAATCCATCATACTCAAGAGATAAAGTCATCATCATTCTTAAAGGGTTAAGTCATCCTACTGAAAAGGGTAAGTTCACCATTCTCAAGGGGTTAAGACATCGCACTCAAGGGGTAAGTTCATTCTCAAGGGGTGAAGTCGTCATACTAAAGGGGTGAAGTCGTCATACTAAAGGGGTGAAGTCATCGTACTCAAGGAATTAAGTCATCGTCCTCAAGGGGTTAAGGGGATTATTTAGCGTAAAGTCCCTTGAGAATTCTTCTGTTAAATAGATTAAGTGAGCCTGTTAAATACTCTGCCACATCACTAAAGACTGATTAATTATATATTAACATAAGAGAACCAGTTAAATATAAGACTCCTTAAAATTACCTGTTTGTGTTGCAGATTATCATGGTGAATTATCTATCGTCAATAATGAGACAATGTTTATACCTCATGATCCGGCCTTACACAGTGGTCACTCGAATACAGTCTTCTTAAGTCACAAATAACAAGAAAGTAAGTTAAGGTTAGTTGTATGATAGTGGTCGTAATGTTCACACAGTCAAAAAAGTATGTTCATAATTTTGTGTTAGACAGTTTGATACAACGGATGAAGGATTATGACAACCCTACCGAGACAACAAGAGTCGCGGTGTTCATATTGATATTCATCGGACTCCTCTGTAAAGATACTTTTTGGGGTGTGTGGACTGGGGAGGTCATCAACACACACCTGGATGTAGAACACAGGTAGAGCAGTCCTTGATGGCCTCTGGTGACCGATCGAAGGTCAAAGAATTGGCATTGATGTAAATTTTAATGAAAAAAAATGGATTTAAAACAGAAATGACTTGTTGACCGAAATATATATTTTTTAAAGTTAGAAATTGATAATGATATTTTAAGGAGTTATTTTGGAGCATTAATTCGCAATAGACTCATAAAAAACTCATGTATTTTCACAGTATTAACATAACCCAAAACAATAATACACCTGCAAGCCGAACTTCTAGATGCGTTTGTCAGTTGCCTGCGCTACCGTCTTGACTGAGAGCAAAAATCATGAGCACTCTGGTCTGTCTTCTCTACGGTCACACTACTGCACCTGACTCCCTCCACACTAACACAGGGGATAAACACCATTATTCTCTATTAATAACTCACATTTAAACGGGATTATTTTTACCTTCTGAGAACATAATTATCCACGTATCGTCTTTCCTTTCTATTTCTGAACTTTTTTCTTTACAACTTTTCCCTCCGCTCGAAAACTGACAAAGTTGAAAAAATCGATCATTGCATTATATTTTTCTTTAGTTTATGAGGTTAACACCTACTCCAATTATTCAATAATAAGTAAATGACAATAAAATTGTAAAATTTACGGAAATATTGAGGAATTGAAGAACATAAATATAACACAGCACTGGCCACTAAGACGACGACGATGATAATAATAATAATAATAATAATAATAATAATAATAATAATAATAATAATAACAACGCTTGCTGATATGTACTTTTAACATAATGAACACAAGAAAATAAGAATTGACTAAAAAAAAAAAAAGTTGCATTACGCACCCGCTCATTCACCACCAACACACACACACACACACACACACACGTACACACACGTACACCCAGACCTTAAATTATTTTCTAAACTCGCGGAAGAGTTGAGTTTGCCTTCCGCATGTTTGTAAGATAAGAAATTCTTTAAATCCCTCAAAGACACAAATTCAGATTCAGGACTTCTTTCCTTGGAGTTATCTTGGGATTTTTCAAGATATTCAACATGGGGGAGTGAAGATAGCTCAATGTATAAGTATAGTCAACTAGAAGGAGAGTCT